AAGCGCAACAGCAAACTGCGTGGACCTGTCACACCTGCTGACCCGTCTTCAGCCTGGTGGCAGAGGCCAAGACAGTGTGAGATCAGACAGACTTCATGGGCCCTGCAGTGCTCGTCAGGGAAGACTCCAGGAAGAAAGTCCACCAGGCCTGAGGGAAGATCGTGTGTAAAAGAAAAGAAAATCTCAGGACCCCTAAACTCCTATGTCAAGAGGAGAATTCAACCTAGGAACCATGAGTCACACAACACTGCCATTCTGTTCCACAGACAGCTGTAATTCCACACTCCTGCCTCACAGCCTTATACAGAAGCCAGGTTTCCGCAGGAGAAAAGACTTCATGCCTCTCCGGATGGCTGCCCTCTTCAAATGCTCACAAGGAAATTCCTTTTTGGCCTCTAAACCTTTCGGGATATATATCCAAGCACATGCCAGTTGTAACCTTGGGTCTGCACCCTAAGTTTAACTCCTAAAACTGACTTCTGTTAAATCTCACTCACAATGTGGATCACAAGCTTATCTTCCCATGTGCAGAAGAGTACTTACAAGATGAGATCCATCCCTCTTCTGCCCTCCCTGGCATCACTGCATGATTGACTCTTTCCTCTATTCTTCCTTCAAATGTTTACCTTGTCTTATGTAAAAGGTAGATTTACTAAGCACTAACTTGAGGTTCACAGGAATGTAACCATTTATTTCACTGTGTACCTCCACTTCCTCTTCCCTTAAATACTGAGTTCCCAAAACCTTTGGCGAGCAAGGTCATGTCTTATGTTTTTCCCAGGCGTGTCTTCTGACTTGGACTTAACTAAACCTCAACCGACTGAGACTCTGTGCCTCAGTCATTCCTTTTCAGGTTAACAAGTGGAAGCCCAGTGCAGAGCCTAGGAGAAGGAGGGCCCCTTCGCCAGAGGACGTTCTTGTCATAAGGAGGGTTAGACATGGCACAGGCAGGGCCTTGCACACCATCCTGAGAGTTTGGGGTTAGTACTCTGCCCACTGAGGTGGGATACTCCTGCAGTTTCTCACCGGTATTTGAGGAAATGCACCGACTTTGAGACATGTAACATGCACCCCAGCTCAGCTCTCCATGCAGCTGGTGAGAGGGCTGCACTAGGTTCAGAAACACCTGGGGACTCCTGGGACATAGGAAGTAGGGAATGGGGGTCAATGTGATTGTTTAGCCACTAAGATGCTTCCCCTGTGGACGCTATGTTTTTACCCTGTGAAAGAAAGTAAAAATTCAGGACACCTCTAAGTTAATTGTGCCAGAGGAGAAGTTAGGCCCTGGAGACTGACCCATGCAGAATTCCTGACCTTTGTGTTCAGACATTATACGTTAACAAGGTTACCTATTCCTCACTCAAACCTAGACTTGGGGACTGCCCCTTGACAGTCATCTCTTTATAATGGAATGTGAAGCAACCCCTTAGAATAGCTAACTGTAACCCATCAGACCTCTGTAAACTATATGTTAGCCTTGTATAGAGAGTGTTGTAATGTGATTCCCTTCTGTTTGGGCTACATAAACAACCCCTACTTTCCCTCACCTTGGAGTACTGACACCTTTTCTGGAGTCTATTTCCAGACAGTTGTCCTTAAACTTTGCGCTTGAGTAAACTCACTCTAAATTAAATTCTGACCGTTCTGCTTATTTTAGGTTCAATAGCCCAATACATTTTTGTGGAGGGGAGAAATTATATTAAGTGCACAGGACCCAGGCCGTGCCACGGTGGGGGGCCCAGAGGCACTTCAATTCAGTTAAATTCAGTTCACACTTACTGAGTAACTGTAGATGTGTTAGGCCCCGTGGTAGGCAATGGGAAAATGCAAGCTTGATAAGAACTTACCCTGCCTTATGGGGATGGCAGTGCCATTGAGGAGGTGCCGCATCCCCCACTATCCAGAATGTCCACTAGAGATGCAACAGCATCATAGTCTGAGCTAAGGTCAGTTAAGACCCAAAAGATACCTGACCCAGGCTTGGGAACTCTCAGAGACAACTGAATAGACAAGGAGACAGTGAGGTTGGATGTTGGCAAGGAAGGAAAACTTCGCCAGAGACTATAAGGGGAAGACAGCCCAGCAGAAGGACCAGCATCAAAAAAAGTTGCAGGAGCATGAGGCATGTGCTGTGTTCAGGGATGGTGAGGGGACGCTGAGGCTGGATCAGCATTGCCTAGAAGACAAGGGGGTCATTCTCAAGAGTTAAGAGTTTGAAACTTACCTGATGGGGGAAAAAAAGAGTAATTGGCGTTTCTTTAGTAGAGAATACATTGTCTGCAGCTCAGGTGGGAGGTTGTGAGCTTCCTGAGGACAGGAGCTGCCTCTTGATTTTAGCAAGACACTAAAGAGCACAGGCTTAGGGAACAAAAGCCTGGGTTGGAACCATAGCTCTACCACTTTCCAGCTATGGGATCTAGCTCCTTGGGCCTCTGTCTTCTAAAACAGAAAATAGGGGTGATACCCCTATTCCCCTCATAGAGTGAAGGTGATTGATTGCGCATGAATTCCTCAAGCTGGCACTTAACACATGCTACATGCTCAGTACATGTGAGCCATGGTTGTATTACTGCTGAATCTACCCAAACCACCACCTGAGCTCCTCAGGGCCCTACCATTGTGCATGAGGGTAGCAAGGAGGTACCCAAATAGAAGGTCAGGGAAGGACCAGCCAGGCAAGGGAAGCTCCTGGGGTGTGCAACTGAAGGAGGCATTGCACCAACGGAGAGTGAGTAGTGGGTGTCCTGGGCAGAGCACCTCCTTATCCTCCCCTGAGTCCCGCCCTGGATAAGGCTATGACTCCACATGGTTTTCATTTGCCCTTAGCTCTTTTCAAATTTGTTCATGAACAAGAGTTCTTGAACAGGGCCTCCTGTGGTTGGAAGAAACAATAGCATCACGCAGGATGAACTCTCAGGCCCCTGGAAGCCAGCTATGCTCACAACGCCCTGCATTTCTGAAGCATTGCTCCTGCTTGGGAAAGCTTCAGTTCACCGTGCTCACAGCCCTGGATGTGTTGTCCCTGGCTCTTGACTAGGAAGTTAAAGCGTGTGCGTATGGGGAGAGGAATGTCATTATTGATTCCTAGGAGAGCTTGTGTTCTCCTGCCAGCCCAGCTTGGATGGGGTTGCCCAGCCCGGAATGGACCCTGCAAAGCAAAACAGACTTCAGACCAGGGAGCCGGCTGTGGGGCCTCTTCCTCTTCTATCAGGCACAGCCGTATTCAATTTGGTTCCATCCAGGTCTTCCCTTAATCCATGACCTAAAACTGGGGCAGGTTCTGGGCCTTGAGATTGGTTGGGAGCGACACTTCCTAATCACAGGAGTCTTTGGGGGTCTTGTCAGCGACTCTGAGCTGAGCTAAGGAGAATGGAGGCAGGTGCTAGCTACTTCCAAGGGAAACACAATTCTCCAACCACAGCACGGTAGCCAGGAATGTGAGCCTCCCAAAGGAAGAGCTGCCATGGGTCTGCTTGGCCTCAGCCCCCCACCTCGTTTAAGGTGGACAAAGATAAATGGGAGAGGAGGAAGGTGGTGTGGGTGTGCACGGGGGTGCGGGTAGGGACTAGAGCGAAGCTACAGCCATTAGCACACGATGCCTGGGAAGTCCCGCTGGTGCTGGAATGACCCTTGTAAGCCATCAGCAGGAACTGAAGACACCCACTGACCAACGCATCTGTTCCCAAGACGGGGGCAAGGGGATATTTAGGTCCAAGGCTGCGTTCAGGCCTAGATGACTCGTAGCTATTCGAGCAGCGGCTCGGGCGTCAGAACCTTCAGAAAAGCCTGGTGAAACGCAGGTCGCGAGGCCCCGCCCCCGAGTGTCTGACACCTTAGGCCTGGGATCGGAGCCCGGGAATCTGCATTTCCCGCGAGCTCCAGGGAGGCGGGTGCTGTGGGAGTGGGCGCTGGCGCAGGGCTAGCTTGGTTTCGTTTCTGCGTCCGGAGCCGCCCCCCTCGCGCCCTCCTCACGAGGTGCCTGAGTTTCGTTTTCCCGCAGCCGGGGGGGGGCGGGGCCAGGCGCGGTATAAAATCGCTTCACGAGCTGAGCAGCAGCATTTCGGCGCTGTGCCGGGAGAGGTGAGTGTAGCTACTGGGGGCCGCGCGGCCCTCGCCGCGCGAGGGGCGCACGGAGAGGGGTATTCGGACCGAGGGTTCGTGACGGAGACTGGCTCTCAAACGGGCACACTTTCTCAGCTGCTAGCAATAACAACGGCAGTGATGGGCGGGCTCAGACCACGCTTGATTCTGGCTCTGGTTCCGACCCACACGCTGCTGAGGCTCTTGGAGGGCCCATTAAAAACAGCCCCCTAACCTGCGGCTTTCCTGCCTGAGGAGGTGGGAAGGGGAGAGGGCCAAGGGGAGGTGTCCAGTTAGGGGTGGGGGAGTGCACTGAGAAAGTTGCATCCCCTCTTGCTGCAGGGGCTGCGAGCCCATCCCAACTCCTACCGTCGCGTTCTAGCGATTTAAATCTGCTAATGAGCGCAAACCGGACCAGTCCAAGTGCAGAAGATCCCACCGAAGGGCAGAGTCAAGAGGTCCTCACGGATCCCGCTGAATGAAGGGAGGCCGGCTGGGCAGAGAAGGGACATGCGCAGAGGCCCCGGCGCAGCCGCGTCTTACCCTGGCCTGAGATACGGGGTCTCCCGGGTAGATGAAGCCTGAGGTGCAGTGGGTGGGGCAGACTCACCCTCTGGGAGTCCCTCATAGTTGGCCGAGATGACCTGGAGTGGGCGCGGGAGATAGGAGGCAGGACAGTCCTGGAGGCTGAGAGAAGGGGCTCAGCTGAGACCTGCCCCCTCTCACCCTTCCACCTACCAACAGCGGGTGACCCCTGAGCCCTGCATTTGGGATGATCCGAGTTCTTTGCCCACATTTTAAATCAAGTTTATTATTAGTAGCAGGGTTGAGTGATGCTAACCACCAGTCCCAAACTGATGCTAAAATGTTTAAAGGTGTCATCTTTCAGCTTTGGAATCCAGCTTCCGCCGGAAATCGCTCCAGCTCTAGGAATCTTAGTTGGGCACATCCCATTCCCTTCCTGGATCGCCGTTGCCCACCAGTGGACACCCAGCTCAGCAGGGTTTGGTAGGTGCACTTGGTCTTAAGAAGACGGTCTCCTTTTTATTCATAAAATATGTAAATGCAGTGGGTTTTGGAGGGAAAAACACTTTCAGAAGAAAAAGTGAACGTAAATCCTCCATGAGTTAATTTTAAAACTAGGCTGAATTATATTGGGAATGTTGCAGACTCTATCTTAGTCATTTTGTAGTATGTGCTTGATAGGTGGCCATTATTGAGGAGTCTGGAGGAGGAATGGGGCTGAAACCTACGTCCCTCCCACCCACCCACCCACCCCTAGGGATAGCAAGAACTGGAGGGGGCTGCTGTGTATGTTCTTTCACCAGTGTGCTGTCTCTTTTGAGAAAGATTTCACAGTGACCCAGTAGGCAATGGCTGATTCTCAGATTCACGGTTTATTGTGAGAGATTCACACATGATCAAGCAGATATTCACAGTGCAATGATTAAAGCCAGTAATTAGGATAAGGAACCCACAGTGGAGGCTCAGGAGACCAACCACTGACAGATGAACTCCAATGAGTCCGAAAGTCCCTCTGGCGTGCCCATCTGTGGGGGTGGAAGCTGCTCTTCTCCAGGCAGTTGTTCCTGACTGCAGCTGTGCAAGTCGAGAAGCGGCTTTCAGAATTCTCATGAGCCAGTAATGCCACTGGACTGGGTACAGAAAGGACAACTGAGTCAGCCATGGTCCAGAAGACTGGTACTACTAGGAGGCAGATAAAGTGGCAATCTTCAACATGGAGCTCGGGGCACATGAGGTCTTTTCAAAGCCATGAGGGGTTGTGAAGGAGGTTAGGGAATAAATTCCCTGATTGACAAACTCCATAAGTACCCTTTAAAGTTAAAATTTACCTTTCATAATTACCCTATTCTTAGTTTACAAAAGGAATACATCCATGTGTCCCTTTCTAAATCAAAAAAAGATACAATACCTGTCCTGGAAGTATTTAAACCTAGGGGAATGGGGGGGTTGGGTGCCTGGGATGTGTTCTTTAGCCAAAGTATCTTGAACCAGTGGCAAGACTGCCTGATCCTCCTGATTTACACGTTTCTGTTAAGCCTAGCGTGACAGGAGAAACGGTATTGGCTCAGGTTGGGATGTCCTGGATCTAGACTGGGGTGACAGGCCGGGTGATGAGGGGTTTCGTTTTAGCAACCTATCCCTTCAACCCACCAGTATTGACAAAGTTTGTGTGGCTCTTAGAGGAGGGTCCCATGAGAAGAAGCAAAGAGAGCATCAGTACACATTGTTGATCCAGGCAGCAAATTTGCAGCAAGGTTCTGTGCCTTTTTCATCTGTCTTAGAATTAAAATAGTCAAGATTTATGAAAAGGACATAGGAGTCAGCTTCAAAGGAAGCCCCTTCTACATTTGCACCACTCCCAGCAAGGGACACATGCCTTGTTGAGTTCTCTGATTTGTTTACCAGGGCTGGGTCTCACCTGTGCACTTTGCTTGATTTCCAGGAGTAGCAAGAGAACAGCTCTGTAATTCCTTCCAACTTGTTGGCATTACTTTTATTTGGAGGAACGTATATTGGAGGTAAGTTAGTTATGCTTTATATTTTTATAACACTTCTTTTGAGTCATGGGAGAAAAAATATTCATTTACTTTTATCCAAGATTAGTAGATGCTGTGAAATTTAATATTTAGAGACTAGTGGTCTCAGAACATTTTAAAAATGAGTTTCAAATATATACATATGTATTTGTGAGGCAGACAAGTATGGTTAGGTGGTCAATTAAATGCTTTCGAGAATGAAATGGATGACATTACGGTACATTCATGTGGGAAAAATGGATTGAAAATATGAAATCAATGAGCTAAAGGAACAGCATAAAAGACTTAGAATGTATGCTTTTTTTTTTTAAGTTGGAATCTCACTCTGTTGCCTAGGCTGGAGTGCAGTGGCGTGATCATCATGGCTTACTGCACCTAAGACTCCTGGGCTCGGGTAATCCTTTTGCCTCAGCCTCCTGAGTAGCTGGGATTTCAGGTGTGCACCATCATGCCTGGCTAATCTTCTGATTTTTTTTGTAGAGATGATATCTTGCTATGATCCCTAGGCTGGTCTTGGACACCTTGGCTTAAGAAATTCTCCCACCTTGGCCTTCCAAAGTGCTAGTATTACAGGAATGAGCCACTGCACCCAGCCGCATGAATGTTTTTTTTTTAAACTAAGGCTTGGCTGTCAAATTGCTATAATATTTAGATTCCTTTGGCTACCTTGGAAAAGTTCTATTAACGATTTTATATTTTAAATGCATCAAAAATTGGATCCCTTGCAACTATTTAAATTTTATAGTGAAAAATATTTTGGTGTTTTGCCTATAATTATGACAGGAAATACCAGTTTTAAGATACCTCTTGGGGATATAGAGGCAAAGTCTTGATGCACCTGGAACTGGGATGCAGCATTTGTCCTCATTGGACATTTGCTTCTTTGGATTCCCCAGCCATTTTTCTTTCCATGAATAGTGTTAATAAGCACATGCTATGTCCCTGGCACACCTCTAAACTCTGGAGACAGTTAGTCAGAATCCCTGCCCTCATGGGTCATACCTTCTGGTGGTGGACTTGGTTCCATGAGTGAATTTATCCAGCTTCTGATCTGTTCAATACTAACCTGCTTCATTGGAAACTTACCTTATCCAGGAAGAAGATGGTTCTTTCTGAAGAGCATACTGAACAATCAAATTCAGTTTCTCCACCCAAACATCAGTTGTTAAATGGAGATGCGTATGTGCCCAAGAAGAATCAAGCCTTGGTAAGTGTCTGTCTTTCAGTCACTGTCCATGTGGACATGAGCTGTGCCCATGTGAGGCTTCACTTTTGCACAACAATGCTGCCACTGCCCAGAGGTGCCTACTGCCTTGCCTGTGGCAGGATGGCATCTGGATCCTCTACTTGCTCTGCTGGGGCCAATTGGCAGCTGAGTGTAGACATGTTGCCTTAACTGACTCTGGATGGGGGTGCCATTGTGGTCTGGAAAACCAGGTGAGATATTGATGGGTTCACGTAGGAATTGGCTCAGACCCTGGATTCAAGGAGCATGGTTGTTTCCCCAGTTCACATCATGGTCCCGTCAAACCCTCTGATATATCATTAGAACATTATCTCCATAGGGAAGCCATGTGGTATCTTTCCTTTTTTCCATGTGGTATCTTTCCTTTTTTTTCTTTTTGAGTCTTAGTCTTACTCTGTCAACCACACTGGAGTGCAGAGACACACTCATGACCACCGCAACCTCAACCTACTGTGTTTAGGGGATCCTTCTGACTCAGCCTTCCAAGTAGCTAGAACTACAGATGCAAGCCACCAAGCCCAGCTAATTTTTTAATCTATTGTAGAGAGGAGGTCTCACCAGGTTGCCCGGGCTGGTCTTGAACCCCTGGGTTCAGGCAGTCCTCTCGCCTCAGCCTCCTAATGTCCTGGGATTATAGGCATGAGCCACCACACCTGACCTTTACATGGTATCTTTGTTGCCTTGAATCAAGACTTTTGGTAGGAACCAATCTGTCCAGCCTTAATTAGGTTCCAACACTGACACTCTCAGTTGTCTGGTCGTAGGTCACTATCCTCCTATTTTAATACTGGTTTTCTATCTCTAAAATGGGAATAATAATAGTCTGCTTCATGTGGCTATTGAGAGGAATAAGTGCAGGTAATATCCAGGCACTTAGAATGTGCTCAGTTGATTGTTATTAAATGTTATAAGACAAGGGGTTGGCCAGGCATGGTAGTTCACGCCTGTAATGCCAGTACTTTAAGAGGACGGGATGTGAAAATTGCCTGAGCCCAGGGTTTCGAGAGTAGCCTGGGCAACTTGTTGAAACCTTGTTTCTACAGTAAATCAAAAAATTAACCAAGTGTGGTGGCACGCACCTGTAGTTCCAGCTACTTGGAAGGCTAGGCAGAAGGATTGCCTGAACCCAGCAGACCAAGAATGCAGTGACCGTGATCGTTCCAATATACTTCAGCCTGGGTGACAAAATGAGACTTCGATTGAAAAACAAAAATAAAAATAGAAAAACTATGGTTCATCAGCCTATTTCAGGTTGGCTGTGTTTTCCTAAGCAATAGTGAACAAATTTTCAAACAATATTAAAAATAATGTTGAAAGACATGGAAAAATAAGAAGGATCACCCATCTTTCTACCATCCTAATATCACTGCTTACATTTTCCTTCTTTTCCCTCCCATTTGTGTCTCTTGCCTACTGTAACACAAAAATAAAAATAAAACATGGCCGGTGCCTCAGAGTGGTAGCTGAAAGGAGAGGAGGAGGAAGGAGTGTCTACTTTGCTTAGAAAGCCATCAGCAGCTAATTGCATCTTTAAATCCTTCTTTGCCTGAAGGCATTTATAGTGGGAGTTTCTTGCATTTTTGTTGTTTGTTTGTTTATACTTCTCTATTAAATTTTTAAAAGTATATTACATAGAACAATAATTGCTTTAGTCATGATTCTGTAAGTCACTTGAAATTTTCATTTACACCTTCTGTGTGTTTTTTTGTATTTACGTCACCCTTTAAAACTCAACTTTATTGAGATATGATGTATATTAGCCATCCAGTGGTTAATGATATTTTCATGTGTTTACTTGCCAGCTGTCTAATTTATTGGGAAAATGTCTGTCAAAATGTTTTGCCCAGTTTTTATTTGGTTGTTTGTTTTCTTATTGTTGAATTCTGAGAGTTCTTTATATATTCTGCGTACAATTTCTTTATCAGATATTTACATTTACTCCCAGGCAATGACTTGTCTTTTCATTCTCTTAACAGACTCTATTAAAGATCAAATGTTTTTATTCTTGATGAAGTTCAGTTTGTTAATTGGTTTCTTTTTTTCCTGTTTGATTTGATTCAATTTGATTTTTCAGATACACATGATAATTTAATACATTTATATAATGTATAAAGATCAAATCAGTATAATTGGGATATCTATTACCTTAAATATTTGTCTTATCTTTATGATAGAAACATTCAAATTATTCTCTTCTAGCTATTATCAATTGATTCTTTTATGTGCCCCTGGGGCCATGTCTAAAAAATTCTTGCCTCACCCACAGTCACCAAGATTTTTTCAATGTTTTCTTCTATACATTCTAGAATTTTAGATTTTACATTTAGATCTATGATCCATTATGAGTTAATTTTTGTATATGTTTTTGTTTTTGCATATAAATATTCTGTTGTCCTAGCACCACTTGTAGAAAACCTGACACTTTGTCTATCCATTGCATTGCCTTTGTACTTTTGTCAAAAATCAGCTATGTGTTGGATTATTTCTAAAATATACATTTTGTTCCATTGAGCTCTTTCTCTATTTTTTACACACGTACCATACTGATTTGGTTACTTTAGGTTGAAAATAATTATGGAAATTAGGTAATGTTAGCCCTCTCACTTTTGCAAAGTCATTGTGACTATCTTAGGTTATTTAGACCATTTATATTTAATGTGAAGTATAATTAGTTTTGAGAATATAACTTTGCTATTTGCTTTCTATTTGTCCCATCTGTTCTTCATTCCCCTTTCCTCTTTTTCTGCCTTTGTGAATTAATCAAGTATTATTTAGGATTCTATTTTGTCCCCTGGGTTGGCTTATTAAATACAAATCTCGCAGTGTTTATAATATACATCCTTAACTTAATAAGTCTATCTTATTAGGTGGTACCTCAAAACACCCAAAATTTGTTTATAAAAAAATTATTTATTTATTCTTACATGTTTAAAGTTCAGTCACCTTCAATGTACTCCCCATTTGATGCAATACCTATTGAGATGCTTTTTCCACTGCTCAAAACAATTGTTGAACTTGTTAATTTGGATGCCTTTTAATGCTTCTGCCGTTTTGTTTCACCTCTTCCAAGTTGGCAAAACATTTCCCTTTGAGAACTTTTTTCCATCTGGGGAAACAAAAAAAGTTGCTGGGGCAAAATCAAGTGAATAGAGAGGGTGGGGTCTGGGAATCATGCTGGTTTTGGTGCACTCGTAAATCAGCCATCGTGAAATGGGTAAGTGTGTTGACAGAATCTCCAAGAAAAATTTACTGAAGCTGAATGTAGCTTCTCACAACAATGCTACCCAGTACATTGATGCTGATGCTTTTCTAGAACACTTCGCTTTGGGGAAGCCTGTACTATAAGAGGCCTTACCTCCAAAAGATAATTCTGATTTTTTGGGGGGTCCCCTCATATATCACTTCATGTATAGTATAAGAACTCTACTGTAGTATACTTCTATCTCTCTGCTCCCAACCTACATATTATTTTCGTTATTTATCTTTTATATATATTATAAATCCCAAATACATTGTCATTTTTTTGAACACTTAATTATCTTTTAAAGATATTTAGGTAATCAGAAAAAGTATAGTAGTTACCACTTCTGGCGTAGATTTTTTGGGGTAGATCCAGAATTCCATTCAGTATGATATTCCTTCTCCCTGAAGGACTTCTCTAACATTTTCTTAGTGCAGATTTGCTGGTGATTAAATAGTTCAGCTTTTGTATGCCCAAAAAAGGATTTCTTTTGCCTTCTTTTTGAAAATATGAAGGGTATAGTATTCTAGGTGTTTGATGATGTTTTTGAGTACTTTAAAAATATTTCTTCTCACTTGTATTGTTTATTTTTATTTTTATTTTTTTTTCATTAATCAGTAGTTTTTATTATGTTTTTGTGGGGTACAGTTAAGGGTAGGTGTACAATGACGTTTCATTCAGGCACCCTGTAGATAAGAAGTGTTTTCCCATCCCCCGACAGATATTTGCTACTGTTAATCCCATCCCCCTCCCCCCCATAGTTTCCCAGTACCATCCGTCATTTTCTCATAGTATTGCATTGGATGTTCAAGGTCCATTATATGAGTGAGAACATGTGATATTCGGATTTTTGTTTTTGTGAGAGGTCACTCAGTATTATAGACTCTAGTTCCATCCAGGTAGCAGCAAAATTCATGATTTTGTTCTTTTTTATGGCTGCGTAGTATTCCATCGTGTATATGTACCACATTTTTTTAATCCAGTCCTCTTTTGATGGGCAGCATGGTTGTTTCCAGGTTCTTGCTATTGTGAACAATGCTGCAATAAACAAACGTGTGCAGGTATCTTTTTTATAGAGTGATTTGTGTTCTTCAGGGTATATTCCCAGTAGGGGGATTGCAGGGTCATATGGAAGGTCAATTTTTAGAGCTTTTAGGAATCGCCACACTGCTTTCCACAGAGGTTGCACTAGTTTACACTCCCACCAACAGTGTAGAAGTGTTCCCTTTTCACCACACCCTCTCCAGCAGCTGTTATTTTTTGAGTTGTTGATAATTGCCATTCTGACTGGAGTTAGGTGGTATCTCAGTGTGGTTTTGATTTGCATCTCCCTGATGATTAGTGAGGTTGAGCATTTCTTCATGTGTTTGTTGGCTGCTCGAATGTCTTCTTTTGTGAAGTGTCTGTTCATGTCTTTTGCCCATTTTATAATGGGGTTGTTTGTTTTCTTCTTTTCAGTACGCTTCAGTTCCTTGTAGATCCAGGATGTTAAGCCTTTGTCAGACCTAGAGTTGGCAAATACTTTTTCCCAGTCTGTAGGCTGTCTCCCTGCTCTCTTTGGCTTTGCAGAAGCTTGTCAGTTTAATAAGGTCCCATTTGTCTATCTTCTCTCTTAAGTCCTGTGGGTTTCGGGTTTTGTACAGGAATTGGATGTCAGTTCCGATTTCCATGAGAGTATTTCCTTCCTTTTCT